GCCACCGAGACAGTAAACACTGTCTCGGAAGCACTGTTCATCTTGAAGGCTATAAATACCCCCTGAGATCGATTTTTGACGAGGCGGATCATTCTTGAGCACTTTGGAGCAGACAGAGCAGAGTTCCTGAGCTTCTGGCAATTCCTTGAGATTCGAGCTTTGACTTGATTTTAGGAAGAACGACTATCTTAATTTGATAAGATATCGTTTCAAATTCTCACTTTGATAAACGAAGGAAGAATCACTAAACCCCTCACGATTCAATCAGAATCTGTAATTTGGTGGTCCACGAGAGAATCACTAAACCCCTCACGATTCAATCAGAATCTGTAATTTGGTGGTCCACGAGCCAAAGCGCTCCCGGCATAGGCAAAGATCCCACACAAGCAGCGATCCAAACAACGATCCTGCGTTTATTTCTAAAAAGTTATAATTTTCATTTTGTTGTGTAAAAGAAGTCTTATAAAAATACTATCTCTTTTGAATTTGTTGTAATCGACCGAAGATATAATAAATTCCACAATGAGAGTAACTTTCGACGAAAACAAACTAGCGACCACAGTGAGAGCCAACGGTCTCGCTGCCGAGACCATCATGTCGCAGCCAATCAAGATACCGGTTGAATCCATGGTCGAGTATGAATTCGACCAAACCAAATTTGAGGAATATATCTCATCGTCCTCTTCAAGATCTTCATTATCTCATAAGTACAAGAGGATCTCATCATTGAAGAAGGTCTATACGCCAGAGAAGGCTAGTTGTTGAGGTCATGCCTCGCAACATTATTCTGGCAACCCTCAAAGCCGGAAGCTCTGCTCATGATCATTCCTCCCTAATTAAGGAGCCGTTCGATCGGAGTTCGCCAACTCTGACGAAGAGGGCTCGTCAGAGGCGACGCCAACGTCTCGCTCGTCAATTGGCTAAGGCCTTGGAACAAACCGATGGAGTTCGTTATTATGCGGACTTAGAATCGAGGAGGCATCGAGTGTTTCAGGTTTCTCAACGACCAATCACTCATATCTCTACTAAACTAACGACGGATGAATGGACTTTTGTCAAAAGGGCTCGTTCTACCCTCAAAGAACGAATACAAAAGCGTCGTGCAAACACTGCTCATGCCCGTTCACTCTTACAACAAAGACGAGAAAGAAACAAGGAAACGGTGGCCAAAGAACCACCCAAACTCTACAAAGTTTGGATTCCAAAGTCTGGAGTTGTGTAAAATCAGCATTCGGAGCCCGTTAAGACTCCACACCCGCAAGGGGGTGGTTCTAAACGTGTGACTCTTGATATAACATTGGATCGCTCAGAGGCGACGACAAGTCATCCTGGGTATGTTAACAAGGTTCAAACACAAAAACAAAAGATAGGTTGATCTGGTCACCATGCTGACGAGTTGTACTATCAAACTAAAAGTGGAAACAAATCACATAAAAGGACCGTTCGAGAAACAAGTCCTCATTGTGTATGTGAAAAACTTATCAAAGCAGTGTTGTCTGAATGCAGCTGCTTTAAAGCCATTCCGCCGAAAGTTTCTGTGTTCCAGAGACTTTCTACCGAAATGTCAAAGCCCAAACCGAGACGTTTCAACAAGAAGCTTGCTATTCAAGAGGATGAATTCCCTGAAGTCACCATCAACATGGCTGATAAAGAAAAATTTAAGTGGCATTCAAGTGAATCAAACACCGACTTTTCCCCGGGAGGAAAAGTCAATTCAAGAATTGCCCGACGGATGTCTCGACTCTAGCT